AACTTGTGACATGGGTGACACTGTGTGTGTTAAGGCGCAGTAGGGTGAAAGCTGCAGGCCTGCTAGCCACTGCTGAGGCCACGAAGCCTGCCAGCTGTCAAGGAGATCAATGCAGGGCTTCTGGGCTCTGGGGCCCTGCACCTCTGGCTGCTGACAAAATTAATGACATGGGTGGGTGACACCGTGTATGTGTTAATGTGCGCCCTCACTCAACTGACACCAAGGCAGAAAGCAGGGTAGTTCAAACAATGCTGCCTTTTATGCAGTTTTTCCATCCCTCGCCCAGAGCAATGGGATTGGAAGGGACCTCAAGAAAGAATGACAGTCACTGGCCAGCTACACAGTCAATATGAGAGCAGTCCTTCCCCCCTCTTCCCCCTCCCTCTCCTTAATTTAGTTCCTGTTTCCCTCCAGGCAAGCCCAGCTTGAGCTTCAAAACTCAAAATGTTTAAAAAATTTTGAAACATTTTGACTTGCCTCATTTCATTTCGAGGCTGTTTTGAAGCTCTGTTTTGTTTCATTTTTGCTGTATCGAGCAATTGAAACGATTGAAATGAAACTGCCAGCAAAATTTCGCACAGCCCTACTTGCTAGTACTAAATGCAAGTACTAAATGACTGTGCAGTACCAACTGTGCAGTCTGGCACATATAGATGCACCCCTTGTTGTACAGAGGTAGCCAATTTATAAAAAGCAATTTTTATTCATGTACTGTAAAAATCATGTTAGGCCACAATCCTTCTCAGATTAAAGCTTACTAATTAAAGTACTTCAGTGCACTAATCATGTGATTAAATGTGGGGTTGATACATCACCTGTCAAAATCTTTCCGTAGACTTTAATGGGAGATGGATTGAACCATAAAGAAGTCTCATACCAATGAAAATTTTCTCCTAAAATATGGATGCAAGTTTGGACCCATCACCATCAAGACATCTGCTTTGCTATGTTATGAACTATATACAATGGTTTACTGAGACTCAGGAGAAGTCAGAAGACATTTAATGTTAATTTGCTGGTAGATATAGTTTATTCTCCTTGAAACTCTCCCTCCTCCTCCTGCCATACACAAAAGAAGGCATCTCTACAACCCTCAGAGAGATTAGCAAACTTGTAATCTCATAGTTATAAGCCTAGTTCAAATGTGTTTCCCATTAAAGCCTTTGCTAGTCTCTCTGTGGGAAAGTGGAGAATTTATCAGATTTCAGTGCAGTCAGGTAAAATTCTGCTGAGGAAGCAATACAATGCTTCTTTTCTCTCCAGGGTACAATTAAACCAATGCTTCCCTAGCAGTATTTTACCTTACTGTAGATTTCTTTTTCTAGTGCATTTCAAGTCCATAGAGTTTAGGGCCTTTTTAATGGATGACGTTTGACTGTTGTTGTTCCCCTGGCCCCATTCATTCAAAATTCATGTGGGATTACAGATGGGTTTTTATTAGATTATTAAAAAAGAGTTTAAGTAAAAATGCTAAACTCTTTGCAAAGTATTAAAAATAAGCTGGTAGAGTCTAAAGAAGGCAGTCCACATGGAGGATGAGTATCTTCACACCTTGGTCTTTAGGGAGCCTGGCTGCCTTAGACAGTACAGCTGCCAGGGTTTTTCCTGCGTGGTGGCTGGCTTCAAAATCCCTCTCCGAGGAGGGTGGGTGTTCTCTGCACAACAATGTAGCCTCAGGAGAAAGATCCACTCAAAATTTATTCCCAACCTTGAATAGGATTTTGGATGCAATGACCAGCAGCAGGGACACAGGTTTCAGCATTAGCTATACATCACCTAATTCAGCACTTCTTTGTCCTATCCCCCAGCGTGTCCCATCCCCACCTTTCCTTGTAGGTTTCCCAGGAGCTGAATTCCTGTTGCCAGGACCCCTCTCCACCTCCCATTCTAGGCTGCTCCCTGTTGCCTACTGAGGCAGTTGACAAGCTCTCATTCTGAGGGAAACCTTTACAGTGCTAGTGCTTAGGTGTCCTGTGTAGAAGTAGGATGTACCCTTGGTTGTAGAGGCATTAAAGTTATAGTTATGTGAAAATAGCAAGGACACAGATATGTCTCAGGAGCTAAAACAATGTGTAGCACCAGACTGAGCCCTTGTACAAGCACTAATTTCAGTGGCACCAACTTACACAAGGCCTTAGGGTGGCCTATATATATGGCCATTACAAACTAGTTATATGTGAAGCTGAATAAAGAGATGCTTTTATCAGTAGCAATGTATTTAAGAGTCAGGAACAAGGTTTACAGTGTCTTTCAGTTTTGCCCTGATCACTGGTCTGAAGGTACACATTTCCAAGTGTTATTGCAGGTTTAGCTTCTGGGAGATGTTTACAGAGGTCAGTGTCATTGAGTGAATTAGGCTAGGGACAGACATTCAAAAATCTTGAGCCTGAATTGATTCACTCGTTGCAGGTTAATCTAAATTGCGCAGCTTAAACTGATTAATAAATGGACAGGCATTCTCTGTTAAATCAGGAAATGCAGGCACATGCCTGCAGTGGCTCAAGCCAGAAGCCAGGGGGCACTAGAGCATGCTTGCCAGCCACTGCCAAAAGGTTCACACTAGCTTGCCCCTCTCCCGCTCTCTGGGGGACACGGCAGAGACTGCAGCCAAAGCCAAAGCCCTGGCAGCTCTGTGGGATAGAGGGGACAGAGTGAGCAATTAATTCTGTCCCTGCCTGTTTGCAGGCAAGCCATGGAGATGCTGGGGCTGGCAAACAGCAGCTGCAGTCCTTAGGGTTTGCCAGTGGAAGGAGAGGGGACAGAAGGAGAAATCTGCCTCGGGGCCATGGCAGGCCAGAATCTGGCCATACACTGCCCCTGCTCCAGCTAGAGAGCAGAGCAGCGGGACCAGCCTGGCTGGGCTGGAGTAGAGATCCCCAGCCAGCCCAAGAGCATGTTGGGATGCTGGGGGTGTCTGATTTATCTTAAACTAGCAAGGGGTCTGGGACAGACATTACATAAACCGGTTTGAGCTGAATCAGTTAAGTCTGATACTACATTCAACCAGGTTTATCTCAAACCAGTTTCAGCCATTTTCAAACTGGTTTATGTTAACTGAACATCTGTTCTGTTATAGGTTTAAATCAGTTTCTGATCACTTAAACTAGTTTATGTGTAATGTCTGTCCCAAGCCTTTGTGAGCAAACCTGCTGTCTGCCTTACGCGTACCAGAATGAACACTACTACTTCCTGGAACAGGAAGAAGAAGAAACTGCAGATCCAGATGAATGCTGAGGGTGAGTATAGGATATCAAAGTGAAAGGGAAGGTGTTTTAAAGAACAGCAAAGAGAATGAGGCATGGAATTGCATTTGAAGAGCACATGGGGAAGATGAATGGGTAATGTGGCTTCTTTTGTGATCAAAAGAGTCTGAATCCACTCCTGCTAGCAGAGCTTCTAGTAACAGCTCTAATGGTTCATGGAAGCTTGGGCACCTCTGAAATGTGGAAGAGGCCAAACAATTAAGTCAGTGTCGCAGAGCACTTAGGTGCCCTGCTCCTATAAAGAGTGGAAACTGCTAGGGAAAGAGCCCTAGCAGTGAGTGAGGAGCCCCAGCTGCTGGTTACCAGGGCAACCAGAGGGAGCTAGTGGCCCACACCTGCTGGAGGTCAGCTGACTGGAAGGGGGCAGGGCCTGGCCCACATATAAACGCCAGGGCTGAGGCTAGGGGTTCAGTTCCCTGCTAGCAGCTAAGGGGGAAGGAGCTCTCTCAGAACAAGCAAGAGGCCTGATGGCAGGTGCAGCTCCTGACACTGTTGAGGGATGGAGTATTCCCTGGTATAGTTTGAATGATATTGTAGCCGGGCAGCTTGGATTTATGTTATAGCCCAGGGGCTTGTGTTTTTGTTTATTGTTGTATAAAACACTGATGGCTTGGGTGAGGCTATTAGGGGATGGAGGAGGCCTCATTAGGGGACCCTGGCGCCAGAGAGTGTGCAACATTGGGGGTGTACTGACCCCGGCACCAGAGAGGGCGCAGCATTGGGTGTGTACCAATCCCGAGCGCCAGGGAGTGTGCAGAGCGAGACTGGGCCGCAGAGGGCCTGAGGGCCAGATTGTAATAAGGCCCAGACCGAACAACATCAGTTCCATCTGTGAGATTTGGGGCATGGTAAAGGGGTAGTTGGAGCCACGCATAGCCCATAAGGCTAGGGTTCCCCAGAACACCCATTGTAGAATAGGACCCACAAAGGGTCCAGGAGCCCACGGGGTCAGAGAGTACAGCCAAACCATGTCCAAGAGAA